CCTGGGGCCAGCTGTCCCTTCAGGACACCGCAGGTCCCCACTCAGATCCAGAGTCTCACTCTCAGGCTGGAGCTGGGTCTTCCTCACCTCCCTGTTCCTGAGCCCGCCTCCGTCTCACCCTGGTCCCATCCACATCCTCCCAGAGAGTCCCAGGTCCCCGCGCCTGGCCCTCAGACCTGCGTGCCACTTTCTTTAGCAGACACTGTTTCCTCCAGAGAAATCCCTCCTGGTATTTGTGGTGCCCAAGACGCACTTTGGGAGGCCGAGACGAGGGGATCTCTTGAGCTCAGGCGTTGGAGACCAGCCTAGGCAACGCAGCAAGACCTCGACTCTATTAAACAATCACAATAATTTTCCAAAAGAGGCAATCAAGGCCCAGAGAGGCCTGTGCCGCGTGCCCCCTTAGAAGGACACAGCAATCCCAGCCTCAGGCTCTCAGCCACTGCCCCATCCCGCACACACGTGAATACGCACAGCTGGACGAGCACCCCAGAGCTGCTGGAGGGTCGTGGGGGCTCGCACACACACTACCGGTGACGCGGAGAAAGGCTGGCCCCGGGGCGGCCCGAGTCCCTCTCCACCCCGCAGCGTCAAAGCAGTGGGCACAAAATGTGGGAAGGTGTCCCCAGAGGGGAAGGAGCGAGTGGTGGCAGGGGTCACAGGAAGGGCCAGCAGCCCCGGGGGCCAGCCCAGCCCCCCAGCTTTGCCTCCTCTCGGATGGGGAAGACTAGAGCAGGAGCACCCCAGAAGGAACGCCAAGCACTGTGTGTCCCACCCAGGGGCGGGCACAGGGCAAGCTCTCAAGGCACAGGAGGGCGGCTGACTTCCCTTCCAGCATATTCACAGGGAGAACGGTCCCCATCCCCGGTGTGGGGGATGCAGTGGACGCTGTGTCTAGGCCCAGACTACCAGGCCAGCATGATCTCCAAGCACACGGCTTCTGCGAGGCCGAACTCCTAAGACGAGGGGAGGTCGGCGTGACCTTCCTTGAGTCACGCGCTGTGCTGTCCGCTGAGCCAAAAACCAGCCTGGCTCACCT